CCTCGCCGCATTTCCCACCGCGGCCTCGGCGGCAGGGCGGCCCCTTCCTTTCCCCCGTGGGGGCACCTCGCGCGCCCCAGATCCATTTGTGGATGGCCCGTGGGCCCGAAAAAAGAAAGAAAACAGGAGGAGGAGGAGGAGGAGGAGGAGGAGCACGAGGAGGAGGAGAAGGAGGAGGAGGAGGAGGAGCAGGTGGAGGAGCAGGATGAGGAGGAGGAGGAGGAGGAGGAGGAGGAGGAAAAGGAGGAGGTGGAGGAGCAGGAGGAGGAGGAGGAGGAGGGGACGAGGAGGAGGAGGAGGAGGAGGAGGAGCAGTGGAGAGGAGGAGGAGGAGGAGGAGGAGGAGGAGGAGGAGGAGGAGCAGGGAGGCAGGAGCACGAGGAGGAGCGCAGGTCGAAGAGGAGGAGGGGCGCAGCAGCAGGAGCAAGGAGGGACGAGGACGAGGAGGAGGAGGACGCGAGGAGGAGGAGGAGGAGGAGGAGGAGGAGGAGGAGGAGAGGAGGAGAGGAGGAGGAGGAGGAGGAGGAGGAGGAGGTGGAGGAGGAGGAGGGCAGGAGGAGGCAGGGGGAGCAAGAAGGAGGAGGAGGAGGAGGAAGAGGAGAGGGGAGGAGGAGGTGGAGGAGGAGGAGGAGGAGCAGGAGGAGGAGGAGAGGGGAAGAGAGGCAGGAGGAAAGGAGGAGGTGGAGGAGCAGGAAGGTGGAGGAGGAGGGAGGAGGGAGAGGGCAGGTGGAGGAGGAGGAGGGAGCAGGAGCACGAGGAGGAGGAGGTGGAGGAGGAGAGGAGCAGGGACGAGGAGGAGGAGGAGGAGGAGGGCAGCAGAGGAGCAGGAGGACGACGAGGAGGAGGAGGAGGAGGAGAGGAGGAGCCGGACGAGGGAGGAGGAGGAGGAGGAGGAGGAGGAGGAGCAGGAGGAGCAGGAGGAGCAGGAGGAGCAGAAGGAGGAGGAGGAGGAGGAGGAAGAGGAGGAGGAGGAGGAGCAGGAGGAGGAGGAGCAGGGAGAGCAGGAGGAGGGGCCAGGATCGAACAAAGCAAGTCTGTGCGAAGTCCAGCGCGACGGAGGAGCTGGCCCGGCCCTGCCGCCTGGCACCGCGGCCTCCACCCTCCTCTCGATCCTCATCCGTCCTCCGTCCTATCCTCGATCCTCGATCCTTGCCTCGATCCTCAAGTCTCCCTCCTCGTTCCGACCCTCCCCGATCCTCGGTCCTTTCCTCGACCCTCCTCGATCCTCCTCCATCCGCATGCATCCCCCCTTCTCGATCCTCGATCCTTCCCTCCATCCTCGATCCTTTCCTCGACCCTCGATCCTCGATCCTTCCCTCGACCCTCGATCCTCCTCGATCCGATCCTCCGCGACCCTCGGCCCTCTCCTCGCGGCGGCGGCAGCAGCGGCGGGGCGGCAACGGGCCGAAGCAACCCCTCCGCGGGCCCGACTGGGGCGACGAGACACTCCAGAGACGCCTCAGCAAAAAAATCTGAAGCGTCGTCGTCGTCGTCGTCGGCTGCGTCGTCGTCGTCGTCGTCGGCTGCGTCGTCGTCGTCGTCGTCGTCGTCGTCGTCGTCGTCGTCGCCGTCGTCGTCGTCGTCGTCGCCGTCGTCGTCGTCGGCGGCGGCGGCGTCGGCGTCATCGCCGTCGCCGCCGTGGTCGTCGTCGAAGAAGTCGCCCTCGTCGGCGGCGTCGACACGAATCACGCCGTCGTCGTTGCCATCGGCGGCGTCCTTCGGCACGAGTGCGTCGTCGCGTCGGCGTCGGCGCCGGCGCTGGCCGGGCCTTGCCGTCGGGTACCATGGCCTGCATCCTGGTGCCGTCCGGCGCGTCGAAGTGCACCTTTTCTGATCAGCGATAAAAGAACCCCTAATCCTTTGAAAGGTGACCTAAGTTAGGAGGACCAGAAACATCAGGGACATGGTGTGTGTTTTGCAGATGTGTCAGACGAATCCACTCTCAGATGTTTATGGATATCCACAAAAACGTTGACCTAAGTTAGGCCACGAATTCGTTGTGTCTTTAGGGCTCGGGGTTGTATTATGCTTAATGAAATTGTTTGGCTGCCGCCCTCTTCTGTGGCGCCTCCTAGGTGCCTCCCATGTCGTCTTGCTGGCTCTGGCGGATCGATGCTAACTGGCGTTCATCGGCGCGAGGCAATGCTGCAATCGACGCTGAATCGACGCATATCGACGCCAGAAGGGCCCCAGAACGCCAGTACAACGCGAGGAAACGGATGACATCGGCGCTGAGTCGACGCCCATCCATGTCGCGGCAGCGGCCCGACGCCGGGAGGCCCCGGCGCCGTCGCCCTCGTCGTCGACGTCGCAGCGTCCTCGTCCTTGCCTGTCGTGGCAGTCGTCCTCGTCCTTGCCCTCCTCCTACTCCCACCTCCTCCTTCCACCTGCTCCTTCTCCTCACGCCCTTCTCCTCCTCGATACGCCTCCTCCTCCTCCTCCTCCTCCTCCTCCTCCTCCTCCTTCTCCTCCTTCTTCTCCAGCGCCAGCTGGCACGAGCGAGGAGCCCGTGGCCAGCCAGCGCCAGGGGCGCCGCCGGGGCGCCGCCGCCCTCTCGCCCTCCCCCCGTCCCCACCCGCCTCCCAGGCACCCAGCCCGACGCCATGGAGGCCGCTGCCGTGGACCAGTGGCGCCCGCGGCGCCGCCCGCCGCGCCCCGCGGCCGCCCGCAGGGCCCAGTACCTCCGGGCGGAGGCGCGGGTCGCGGAGAACCTGCTGCGCAGCTTCGGGGAGCTGGCGCAGCACCGAGGCAGGCAGCCCACGCGGCTGGCCACGGCCTTGGTAAAGGCGCTGGCCGAGCGCGCGGACCCAGCCGGCGACGGCCCTGGCGAGCGCGAGCCGCCGTCCGAGGCGCACGCGGTGGCGCTGGCCCAAGAAGCGTTGGCGGCCGCCCGCGCGCCAGGACCAGGACACGACTTGCTGGAACGGCTACGGCAGGAGGCCCGTGCCGAGCGGCAGGCGGAGGCAGCGCGCGGCGCGGACGGCACGGCGGGGGCTGAGCTCAGGCCCGAGGCGCTGGCCGAGCAGCAGGCCGCGACTGCCGAGGCGCTGGCGGCCGCTCGCGCCGCGGGGCTGGAGCAGCACCTGGAGACCGAGCAACTGGCGGAGGCAGCGCAGGGCGCCGAGGCCGAAGCCTCGCGCCCGACGGAGGCGGAGCACACGGCCGCCGAGGCCGCGCCCCTCGGGAAGGAGGCCGAGCGCCTGGAGGCCGCCCCCGAGGCGGAGCACGACGCGGGCGCGGAGAGGCAGGGCGGGAGGGCGGGCACGAGCGCTGCCGAGCACGACGGCCAGCAGCGCGACCAGCAGCAACACGCCCAGCAGCGCCACGCCACCGAGCACCACCGAGACCAGCACGACAACGAGGACCAGCAGCACCACGCCGCCCAGCACCACCGCGTCGCCCACGGCTGCGCTGGACTGAAGGGGCCAAGTACTGCCACCTTCCTTGGAAGGCATGCCGCGAGGGGTGCTCGGGGCGGCCTCCCCGAGGGTGCCTCGCGGGGTGCTGAGGATCTCGGGGGTGGAGCGCGGACACCAGAGGACTGGCCGTATTGCCGTTCCCCTTGGAAGGCACGTCGTGGCGGATGCCCAGGGTGACCCTCACCCTGGGGGTCCACCGCGGGGTGCTGAGGATCTCGAGTGCGGACCGCGAACACGCTGATGGACCAGCCCGTCAGCAACGCTCCCTGCGCCTCCGCCAGACGCGCAGGGAGAGAGGGCGGTCCCCGCTGACGCGGCCCTCTGAGCGGTGGCCGCGCGACGCGCGGAGCGTCGGGCGCGGCCGCCGCGCGACAGCCAGCGGGGCTGCGGGGGAAAGCTTCGGGAAAGCTCCTTCTTTCTTCTCCTCCTCCTCCTCCTCTTCCTGCTCCTCCTCCTCTTCCACCTCATCCTCCTCCTCCTCCTCCTCGCGCCCTCCTCCTCCTCCACCTCCTCCTCCTGCTGCTCCTCGCTCCTTCTCCTCCTCCTCCTACCACCACCACCTCCTCCTCCTCCTTCTCCTCCTCCTCCTCCTCCTCCTCCTCCTCCTCCTCGGTCGGTCGGTCGGTCACTAAGGGATGAGTCTGCATCCTGATCAGAAAACATGATAGAGAGCGGCACCAAAGAGATTGCGACAGAGGCAGCGGTCACGGCAGCGGGCAGGCGTCGACAATTGAAACGAGGAGTTCCCCCCCGCTCAAAGCTCGATCCCTTAATCAATGAGTAAGGCCGTTCAAAGTCCCAGTCCTGCGCGGGAGTCGGTTATTGCTCAGCCTCATCGAGAGAGAATCGGAAAGAGGAAAAACACCAGCACAGGGCTCCAACGTGCGGTGCTGGTGGGCCATCCTTCTCCAAGCTACTGCAACCTCAACCGAGGAAATGAAGACTACACCTTCACCCAGGTACTGCGAGCTATAGTGCTGCATTCACTCTGGTACAACGAAGCCTTAACACATACCAAACCATACAGCGAGAGTTCAGGTGCCGCGCACACCATGGCATGGTAACAATCCGTCAAGCCAAACCATTTCCCGAGAGTGCTGCGAGAACTAATAGTGCCGCGCACACCGTATGGCTTGTCAGGGAGTGAAGGGTGCCACCATCTGAGCGTAATCAAGGGGGAGGGAGGGAGAGAGGGGGAGGGAGAGAGGAGGGAGGAGGGGGAGAGGGAGGGGAAGGGAGGGAGGGGGAGACAGGAGGGAGGGGAAGGGAGGGAGGGAAGGGGTAGGGGGAGGGGGAGAGAGGGAGGGAGGGGAAGGGAGGGAGGGGGAGGGAGGGAGTGGGAGGGGGAGGGGGAGAGGGAGGGAGGGCGGGGAAGGAAGGGATGGGGGAGGAGGGAGAGAAGGGAGGGAGGGAGGGAGGGAGGGAGGAGGGAGGGGGAGGGGAGAAGGAGGGAGAGGGGGAGAGGGAGGGGGAGCGAGGGGGAGGGAGCGGGAGGGATGGAGCAGGGTGGGAGGGAGGATAGAGGATAGAGCACCCGGGCGCATGAGGAGGGCAACGAGGCTTCGCCCCGCCCCCGCGGCACCAGCTGCCCCGGGTGCGCCCCCTTCGGCACGGTCAGCACCACCTCCGGCGCATGGCAGCGAGGGTCCAGAGAAAAAGAGGAGGAAGAGAAGGAGGAGGAGGAGGAGGAGGAGGAGGAGGAGGAGGAGGAATAATAGCAGGGGAGGAGGGGAGAAGAAGGAGGAGGAGGAGGAAGAGGAGGAGGAGGCAGCAGAGAGATAATGCGAGAGGAAGGGAAGGAGGGAGGGAGGCAGGGAGGGAGGGGGAGAGAGGGAGGGAGTTCCAGCTTCTAGGCGTGGCGCGCCACATGACCGGCGCGTCCCACGCAAGATCGGCATCACCAATCATGGGGCCCGTCCTAGGGCGTCGCCAGTCCAAAAAACGCTGGAGGCGACGTTTGCTAAGGGAGGGGTGGGGCGGGGAGGGAGGGTTGAGGAGGTAACAAAGAGGAGTGGGGAGGAGCCGGGGGAAAGAGGGAAGAGAAATGAGGTATGAGGGGAGGAACTGGGGATGGAGCCGAACAGCAGGGAAAGAACAAACGAGGAGAGACAGGAGGAGGAGGGGGAGGAGGAGGAGAAAGAGGACAGGGGAGGAGGAGGGAGGAGGAGAGGAGGAGGAGGAGGAGGAGGAGGAGGAGGGAGGGGGACGGGGGGAAGAGGGGCGCGACGACGACAAGGATGGGAAGGACAAGAGAGAAAAGGGCAGTGACGGCCCTCCCCTTCCTCCCTAACTTTCCCCCTCCCTCCCTCCCTATCAGCTCCTCATCTTAACGCCTCCTCCTCCTTCTGCTCCTGCTCCTGCTCCTGCTCCTCCTCTTCTTCCTCATCCTCCTCCTCCTCCCTCCTCCTCCTCCTCCTCCTCCTCCTCCTCCTCCTACTACTACTACTACTACTACTACTACTACTACTACTACTCTACTACTAATACATACTACTATACTACTACCTCCTATGACTGGACCTCACTGACGACTACTACTACTACTACACTACTACTACTACTACTACTACACTACTACTTACTACTACGACACTACTACTACTATACTACTAACTGACTACTACTACTACTGAGCTACTAACTACTATAATACTACTACTACTTACTACTACTACTACTACTACTACTAACTACTACTACTACTACTACTACGACTACTACTACTACTACTACTACTACTACTACTACGACTACTACTACTACTACTCTACTACTCTACTACTACTACTACTACTACTACTACTACTACTACTACTACTACTACTACTACTACTACTTCTGACTACTACTACTGACTACTACTACTACTACTACTACTACTACTACTACTACTACTACTACTACTACTACTACTACTACTACTACTACTACTACTACTACTACTACATACTACTACTACTACTACTACTACTACTACTACTACTACTACTACTACTACTACTACTACTACTACTACTACTACTACTACTACTACTACTACTACTACTACTACTACTACTACTACTACTACTACTACTACTACTACTACTACTACTACTACTACTACTACTACTACTACTACTACTACTACTACTACTACTACTACTACTACTACTACTACTACTACTACTACTACTACTACTACTACTACTACTACTACTACTACTACTACTACTACTACTACTACTACTACTACTACTACTACTACTACTACTACGACTACTACTACTACTACTACTACTACTACTACTACTACTACTACTACTACTACTACTACTACTACTACTACTACTACTACTACTACTACTACTACTACTACTACTACTACTACTACTACTACTATACTACTACTACTACTACTACTACTACTACTACTACTACTACTACTACTACTACTACTACTACTACTACTACTACTACTACTACTACAAGTACGACTGCTCAACCTATATCAGGCACAGTCTAAGGACTCGATCGGATGCCCAGAAGAGCCTTCCGCCAGCTTCTGCCGGCCGAGCCGCCGCCGTTACTCCTCCGATCCTCCGGGGCAAGGCCCTCTCTGGAACGCCTCCTTCGGCTGCACCGCAAGGAGTGACCCTGGGCAAGAGGGACCTCTGGTGCGCGGCGTTTGGGGGGCGCGAGGGGGCCAAGCCCAAGCGCGCAGGCCGATGCTATCGCATCGCATTCGGCGATCGGGGGGTCCCGGTGGGCCTCCTCTTGGGGCCGTTGTGGGGCCGTCTTGGTGCCTTCTTTGGCCGTCTTGGAGCCCTCTTGGGAGCCTCTTAGGCCGTCTTGGTCCAACTTTGCGGGCGTCTTGGGCCGTCTTCGATGCTGCGGGAGCCGACGAGGCTAACATTGCACGTTCTCCTAAGGGGATGGGACGAACTGTGCCTCTTGGGGCCCGCACCAAAGGTCACTCCAGCGAAGGGTTACTCTTACGTGCAGCCGACTCGTGCACGCCGCCCGACGGCGCGGCCCTCCGCTCTGTGCCTCCGCGCGTCCTCCTCCTCCTCCTCCTCCTCCTCCTCCTTCTCCTCCTGCTCCTCCGCCTCCTCCTCCTCCTCCTCGACTCCCC